GATATCACTTTAATCAAATCCTTGAGAATTTTGGAATGTATCACATTAGGTCCTGCTGACTTGAAGACCTCTAATTTGTCTATATAATTTTTAACATGTTCTTTTCTTATTTAAGCCACAGATTTTACCTCATTTTCACAGAGATTCTCAATGTTAGATGTCTGATTGCTATTAACCTTTTTGGTGAAAACTGAAACTAAAGGCATTTAGCAATTTTGCCATTTTCACATTTTCTGTTATTGTCCCTTTCCCTCACTGAGTAATGAGCTACCCTGTCCTTGATCTTCCTCTTTCTTTTAATGTATTTGTAGAATATTTTCTTTTTTCCCTTTATGTCTCTAACTAGTTTAATCTAATTTTATGCCTTGGCCTTTCTAATTTTGTCCCCACATGCTTGTGGTCTTTTCATATTCATCCTTTGTAATTTGACACTTTTTTACTTTTTTAGTGCAGGTTAAACTCCCTTGTCCAGCAATCTTGGGATCTGACTAGTCCTAAACTAGGGAATTGGCCAGATCAGGGGAGGACAATGCTTGCCACTCTGCTCCCGGCTGCTGCCTCCACCTCCGCAAGGTTCCATTGCTCTGGGCCTCGGGCTGCCACAGCTCCATTGCTTCAGCCCCCAGGGTACCAACCCCTTTCTATTCCCATTGGAGCTCTGCTGTTCTGGTCCCCAGACCACCACTGCTCCATGGCTCCATCCCCTGGGGCACCGTGGTACCATTGCTAGAGCTCCAGAGGCCCAACACACCTATGCAGCTTCAGTATCCAGGCCCACCAGCGCACAGGGGCTCTCCTCCTGGGCTCTGGGGCTCCTTTCAACCCTAATTCAGCAACATTCCTGGCCCCAGTCAACTGTTTTTTCCCTATGAGTGCTCCAGACCTGGATTGGGGTGTTGCCAAATTAGGGAAGTCTGGATTAGATAGGTTCAACCTGTAGGATTCTTTTTTGAATTTCAGATCACTGCAGATCTCCTGGCAAAGCCAAGGTGGTTTCCTGTTATACTTTCAATTTTTTCTACACAGTGGTGTAATTTGCTCTTGTGCTCTAAATGATATCAATTTGAAAAACGCCAAGTCTCCTGAACTATTTTTCACTTGGATTTGCTTCCTATGGGATCTTACCTAATAAGTCCCTGTATTTGCTAAAGTCTGCCTCTTGAAATCTGGAGCTTCAGGGGCTAGCTAAGTTAGTCTGTTACAGAAAAAAACGGTCATCCGAAGAAGTGGGCTGTGCCATCTACATGTTTTGTTAGACTATAAAGTGCTACCAGACCATTTGTTGTTTTTTTTCTTGAAATCTATCATCCTTTGTTTGCTGCTTTCCCTCCTATCATTCCTTGTAATCATGAACTGCCTCATTTCATTATCACTTTCATCCAAGCTGCCTTCCACTTTCAAATTCTGGACCAGCTCCTCCCTAATTGTCAAAATCAAATCTAGAACAGTCTGTTCCTGAGTTACTTTCTCTACTTTCTGAAAGAAAAATAATGCTGTATTATGTTCCCAGTAGATATCTGGATAGTTGAAGTTCCCCATCACCACCAAGTTCTGTGTTCTGTATTATGCTGTCAGCTGTTTAAAAAAGTCCTCATCTACTTCTTCCTGAATTCATAGTCTGTAGTAGATCCCTACCATAATATTATAGGCTTGATCTGCCTTTAAAGCCCCCTTCTGAAATTTTAACTTTGCTTTTTTTTTTTTTTTATTTTATTTTATTTTTTCCCCCATTTTCTTACTACAGAAAATTTGGGAGTGAAACAGAATACAGGCCAATTAAAATAACATTCCCAGAAGTGGTCCTCAGCCACCACACAATATTTGTTATAACCCGCATAGGCAGTTTTTACTCACCAATGTCCAAGCATCGCATCTGTACTATGAAATTTGGAGACTGTTTCTCCAGAATGGAATGATCCTTGCAACTCTGCAAGCCATACACGTGTTCCCAGAAGTGTTCCCTCAGTGCCAACAGCAAGACACTGGCCTTTCCAGACCTTATCTTTGCCACAGTATTTGAGAATGGATAATAAACTTCTTCACACTGTGGTTTTACATTTAGCTTCATTGTATTTGTCCCTTGTTAATTTTCTTACCCTCCTCCAACTAGTATTGCCTGTCTTATGCCTCTTTTTTTACTTTTCTGTGGTGAAAAAAGAGGGCAAGTTTTCTTGATCCATGTCACTCACAGTGGCTTTTATATTGTATAGCATGTATCCCCTAAATATTATACAAGGTATTATTATTAGAACGTATTGATTTAATACCATATTTCTTTTTAAAGCAATTACAGCATTAATGTATATTATATAGAATGTAACCCATACTTAGCAACTAAAATCTCAAATAGCTACGCTACAAAAAAGCTGCTGATTTTAGCTAAGTTTTGTTTTTACTACTGTTACTACTTTTTCTCACTCTTTTTTTAGCCATTTGAGATTAGTAAGTTGGTTATTAAATTTCACTTTTTTGACAGGCAGTTTTTAAAAAAAATTCTTTCACAATTTGCTGATCAGTGCCCCTTGCATTGTGTTTTCATTGTATTTTTTACACTGGTTACATTGGCCTGTTGTTCTCAGACTACATTTCCACTAGTACATTTATGGTTAACCCATATAGAAATACTAATTCCTTCATTGATTTCAACTAACTCATCCATAATCACACAATTTAATCAGATTGTCCCTTTACCTGTAGCAGTCAGTACAGTTAATTTATTACAGACACAAAATAGCCTTTTTAAACATTGTAAAGAATCTTGGAGAGAAAAGGATAATTGTGACAGTTGTCACCATTTGACTTTCCCTTTATATAATCAGGCTACTAAGAATTTCACTAAGCATCACTGCACAGAACTCTGTTACCATTCCTGGGTTTCATTATTAAACCAAGCTTTCTTTCTTTTTCTTCCTTTTTTAACATTTTATGTATTAAACAGTTCAGGGTAGTAAAAGTAATAAAGTCCTTTTTAACACTTTATTACTTTTACTGCTTGTGACAACATAGTCTCCTCCAAGATCTTCAGTGTTAATTTGTTAATTTTTAAAGTATTCATATCAGTTTTTTCACTTTTTAATAAAACACTTCCCTAGACCTTACTAGCTACTTTATTTTGGGACCTTCTTTTATTTTATTTCCTAGAATAACACCTTTCTTAGTTGACTTTTCCTCAGAGGTCTAAGTTTATTTTTTATGTTTTTTGCACTTATTTCTTAACTTCATATATTTTGCCTGCACAGCTATACTCACTAAAGTCAGCCCTTTAAGGATGGCTGATTTTTACTGTAGACTTATGCAAATAAGTAATAGACATTGTTGGTCTGCAGGCTTTTTCTCTCCTTTTTAGGAATCTTTTCTATTTATTTTGTTACTTCCTCTACAACTTCGATTTGCTTTTTATGCTTTTAGCATTTACTTCTCGAGATAACACATTTTGTTTGTAAAGTTTTAACCACTAGAAATAATCCTTGTAAATCTGCTGCTTTGTTCTGGGCTTTTTTTGCATTAAGATAAAAGCAAGCAAACGAGATACTATTTTTATGGCTGTCAATGGGTCTTATTTTTTTTTTTTTTAAAGACAGTGACATTCAACAGACCTCTGCTATGCTCTTCCAGACATTCTGTTTTTAAAAACTGACTACCTGAGCTCCTTTTTCACTTGTATCCAATCTCACTCTAATCTGTTTCTATAGGATCCTTCCTTAAATTTAACCCACTTCTCCAGCATGATGCTAACTTCCTCATATTAAACCCTTAAACTCTACCATTGCTATTTCTCTTTATGCTGGGTTGCGAGCCCCATACTAAGTGTATATGAGTTACCTGCCCCCGATCCAAGTCACAGCACCACTATGTTAGGGTTCCTTTGAGGCCTCTTCCACTTGGTTCCCCACTTCCCTCTTCCACTTGGTTTCAGTTTGGTTTCTTTATTTGGCATGCTGCAAAACTATGCTGAGTTGATCCGTCTCAACCATCAGAGGTGGATATGGGGCATATTACACATCCAAAGCTACACAACCCTTCTCCCTCATTTTCAGTTACACCTCACATTACTTTCACTAATGCATTTGGGGTTTGACCAAGTCACATTGTAGAAATCAATCCCTGCCTCGTGCACTGTCCATGTACAGCTTACTGTTTACCTCATCTTTATGCTCCCATCTTATCCATTGTTATCTTTTCCATTGTAAATGATTTCCTGGGTGTCCCCAAGCTAAGGACAGACATTGTGTTTCTAGTCTACTGCTCCATTTACATTCCTAATTGTGCCCAATTAAAAAAATGGCCTTACTGGTGGACCGGGTACTGGGTTTTGTTGACAATTTTTAATAAACCAGATTGTAGGGTTAGCACTCAGTCACATATAAATACTACACCATCCTGAGCAAGAGCAACTGATAGCTGCAGACACATCCGTTTTGTTTCAATGAAAGTGGCAAGTGATTCTTTTTCTTTTTCTATCAGCACACTTTGGGCTTTTAAAGTGTAGCACTAAGTGACACAAATATTTCCTGGAGTTCCCTCATAGCAAAAGGAAAAGGACAGTCTGCAACATCCCCTTTAAATGGTGCTATGCACACATCTTTGTAGCTAGTCAATTTGTTAGGTTGTGCACAGAAAGAACGACAAAGCCCACTTCTCCATTACCATTGCAGGCTAGGGTAAATACTTACAATTAAATGGTATAGAATGGGTCTCGACTCCCCAGTTGTGCTGGTGGACAGATTTTCTAATCTGTTATGGTTCTTAATATTTATTAAACATAACAATACCAAATAGAAATTAAAGATAGTCACCTATAGCTTATTGCATGGAACATACTGTATATAGCTAATGTAAGGTGCTAAAATGTAAATGTGTTCAGACGGGCTTTCTAATCTTTAATTATTTGCTAAACAGTTCTTCATTAATGCACAGGTGTCCACTTGAGAGATGTTGAAGCTGTGATGATCACAAACAAAGCAAGTCAAAAATCAAATGCATTGTTGTTATTTATTCAGATGAGTGAAGCAGAGGTCAATGGGCAATTTGAGTCGGTGTGTGAATCAGTGTTTAGCGAAGTTGAAGCTCAGGCAATGGATGCCCTTGACCTCCCTGGATGCTTCCGAACAAGGAGTCACAGTTACCTGCGGGCCATTCAGGCAGGTTATTCCCAAGATGATGAATGTATCCCTGTGATGGGCTCTTCCAACATCACCTCAACTATCAGGTCAACAACAGGTAAGAAAATCTGCACTAGCCACTGGTAAAAATAGCAGGGTGGAAAATGTCTACTAAAATCTTATTTTTCCTGTGTGATTCTCTTGATTGTTTTTGCTTTTTATATTGATATAGTACATTGAGAAACAGGCTTGTATATAATGCTGTCATGCCGGCATGTCTGAATGTCTAGCTATGAAAAATGTCATTTTTATTTGAACTTGTAAGTGGGCCTGGAATATAATGGGGCTGAATCTGGTCCCCAATCCCCAGGGTTGGCCCCTGGTGAGCTGCCACCAGTATATTTATCTGCATCTCCACAGATACATGTGATTGCAGTTCCTGTTGGCTGCAGATCACCATTCCCAGCCAATGGGAGCTGCAGGAAGCAGTGCCCTGATCTGCTTCACTTCCTGCAGCTTCCATTGGCTGGGAACGGTGACCCATGAACAACAAGAACTGTAGTCGTTCATACTTGCTGAGGTGCAGGCAAGTATAGAGGTTTACCTCTAGGGAAACACCTTTGTCTTATTGCTCATCCCTACCCTAGATTTAACTTTTTCTTCTTTACTCACCTCCACGGTTTTGTACGTGCAACTAATTGCAGGCAAAAATGGTGTTATGTAAATATTTAAATAACTGATTGTATCTACATATCTGGACGCTAAATATCTACATGAGTCCAATTACATTCACAATTAGTTGGTCCCTTAAATTGCAGGTGTAAAAAGTGATGCTAGGTCAAAACTTTTACGGCTAAGGCAGCATGTAGCTTACTTAGCTTTGGAATGGGTATGACAGATGCTGATCATATACTGTAGCATATGTACTGGCATATTTCGTGTATTTTCATTGTTATTCATCAGTAATCATTGTTCATTATTATTCCACTCATTTTTAGGATCCTTTCATACATTTCATGCTCATTTTCCTCTTTTAAGTTGCTTAACAAAGAGATTAATGTTATTATATTATTATTTTAACTATCATTAATAAAAAAGGATGAGCACAGATTGTGCAGATAAGTTAAAAAACTAAACTGAATCCATTACAATTGTTATTTTTGAAGTTATCCACATTTATTTTTACATTCCCAAATATGTTCCATTACACTCAATGATGATAATGCCCTATCATATTGATGAAATGAGGGCACATTCATAGAAAGCAAAAATATAGCCCAAACAAAAATGAATATAAGCCTCCTTAAATTTATTTTTGGCATATTTACTATACAGCAGAGCAGTAGGAGCTTTTGAGTGGAAAGCAATTGTTGTCTTTAAATATCATTAGCATGCAGTGTTACCAAGAGCCTGGTGTATTATTTTATCTTCAATATAACATTTTATACAGTACAGTTTAATGGAATATTGTAAGCTACTCCTATAATACAAATAGCTATTGTTACTTCCCTCACCACATGTATATGCATTTTCATCCCAAGTTTAGAAGCTTTAATAGCTCTGCCATCAAGGGATAAATTGTATAATACAATAAAACTTTTAATAGCCACCAAGGAAACTGCATGTTTCCTAGCTGTTGTATAGCACTGTGTGATGAATATGAAGATGCTGTTACATGGACTGAGGCCAAAGCAGTCAAACATGGGTGCCTCAATATGGAATTTGGTACCTAACTTAAGGCACCAAAGTTAGACTATCTCTAAATCTAAATTAGAAGACAAGTTGATTTATTTATCTACCTGAGATGGTGACTTTGCATTCCAGCTTAAACATCGCCTTCCCATCTAAAAGGAGATCTCTCTCTTTTCCCTGAAGTAAAAAAGTCGAATAAAATATATTACATTTGGCAAAATCATCAGGTAATATAATAAATATGTCGGCATCCCACTGTTCTTTCCTGGTGAAAAACGCTATACATTGATTAGCAGTCAGCTGGTTAAATGATGTGTTTTTTGAAAACTTTAACCTTCATTTCACACATGATTTCCTTCCCATTTCTAGAATAAATAATCAGATAGATTTTGTTATCTACACATTTCTTATTTGTCAAGGTGAAAAAATAGTGGCACTGTAGCAAAAAGAGGACTATAGAAAAAATGGTATTTAGAAATAGGTCTTAGGCAAAACTGCCGTTCCAAACATACTTGAGAGACTTCACAATCTAGATCTGTGTTCATTCACAGTTTGTGACATTCTCTAATCAAAATATTATCCCTGTGTTATTGAACTAATTTGTTCTTAACTTTTATGGAGTTACTGATGTAAGACAAATATTTAAATTAGAAATATTTATTAGATTTTCAAGGGAGAGCAATAATTATGTGGTTCATTATTAATTGAAATTTCCAGTTTCCAAACAAGTCACTAGCTAGAAAACCATGGAATAGCTGCTTCATGTTTCTGTCTTCAGCATTTGGCAGGCTAGAGACAGACTCTTCAATTCGTATTATTGCAACATTTCAAATAACTTTACTTCCCCCTTCACTTATCTGAAGATTGTAAAAGAAGCTATTGGATGTAAAGTGGAATATGAGACTAGTCGATATTTAACATGCCCAGAAGCGTCTTTCAGATAAAAGGTCAAAGTTCTGTTTCATCCATCAGTGCAAATGCACCCTTTTAAATCTTTAGGAAGATGATTTTTGTCTGTTTTTTTTTTTTCCTGCTGCTGATGTTATAAGAACTTCTTGGCAAAGTCATTATAAGGCATTTTTTAGAAAGTTAACGGGAAATACAATTTCATTAGTAGTGGAAATGTTAGGCTGCCTCTTATCAGTGTTGTAAACACATTAAATTATAGCACATGGACTTAGCTAAAATTTTAATAGTTTAATAGAAATGTAAATTGGAAGCAGAAAAATTATATTTGATCTATGACTATAATTTCTATTTTGGATGTGCATTTATATATACATTCATAAAGCTTAGTGTGTCAAAAGATATCTACAAATATGGATTGACACATAGGTTTCATTCAGAATGGGAGTAACGCTATAGCTTTATTCAATAGTATATAGTACATATTTGCTCATTTCATTAGAAGCATTAGGATGTCTTCATAACATTTGGAAAGGGGGTTACCATAGTCAAGTCTTCCAATATTTAAACCAATATTTTCAGGGACATACACGATACCAGGACATGCTGGAGATTACTGGAGATTACTATGGATAACTTTTGTGCCTGTGAACTGGCTATCCACTGGACAAATCCCTCTCACCTTTGATTGTCAGATTGATGATTTCTTTTCTCTGGGGGAGGAAGCCAAACTCTTTCTTTGCCACAGCAAGATTGGAAAACAGGTTTATTTATTGCCAAACCACCTAAACAATGAACTCAGGCTGCTTACTTGGTAGAATTTAAAATTTTCTCCAAGAAAGGAAACATCATTAGTGATGAATGTGAACCCAGAAACACAAGCACAGTACCTGTTCTTTTGGCTTTATCTAAATTGGGCAGGAACCAGTACCCCACTGATTCCTGTTGTCCAGTGAGAATACATGACAGTGTCCCCAAGCAGTACACATTGTTAGAGGACAGTAGTAACTCCCATCCTCTGCGTGACTCCTGCCAAGACTAGCTATGCTTCACTATTAAGAACTTTCTGTCCATCTTCCATTGGTTTGTGAAGGGGATAATGTAACCTTTCTGCCAGGTTGTGTCAGTAAAATCAAAGGCTGAGTTCAATATATAGTGCTTCATCTGAAAAATTGTAAACAAAGTCAGCTCAAGGCCTCACCCAGAAATTTGAGGAAACTAAACACCGTCCTGGGCACCTGTGATGGGCATTACTTCCCACACTCACAAGCATTGAGTCTATGTAACAAAAGAAAAGGTTTATTAAAGTGAGCATTAATCAAAAGTGCTGATGACTGAGCAGTATGCAGATAGGTAAAACACTTTTCCCATCTTGTGGTTTGAAAGTTCAGTTAGACAAATGCCCCTTTCACATTCCACATCCCACTATTACACCCTACTCACAGGTTGTTGCTCAAGTTCAATGAAGTCCCATAGTCCAGAGGGACTTCAGGTGAGTTCATCTTGAGCTCTGGGACAGTGGGAAGAGTGAATTAGTGATCTCTTTGCCACCACTGCTGTGCTATTATTGCTGCCTGTGCTGCTACTCACCATTGTTGCTGCTGCTAGTTGTGATGCTATATTCAGAGATTGCATTTCCCAGCTCACTTCTTATTCCGGTTAAGAGGATATATGGCAAAATCAAATGCAAATACCAAGGACTCCCATCCCAGAGATGCCTCCCCTCCACCCTGAGGCTTGTTTACATAACACAAACTCTTCTTTACAGATAAGTTTAAAGTCAAACATTCATGCCCAAAACTTCCCAGGACAGCACTAGCTGGGAAGGAAAAAATACAGTTTAAACCTACAGTTTACTTTCCTGTCTCAGTAAAAGACCCTTAATCTGGATTTTTTTCAGGTATGTCAAATGGTCATTATGAGTGAAGAAGTTTACTAATGTACAATATCTGGTTCCCAGCATGCCTTGTGGAAATGCTGCTCTATGACACTTGGCATTTCCAGACAACAACTCTGCTCAGTATTCCTCATTTCTGCAGGAATATGGAGTTTGTACCCACTTACACTTTGAAACTGTGGCCTCAGGCTCTAAACCTGAATTTTTCTTCCAAACTGCACACTGCAACTCTGAGACCACTTTTTTTCCCCTTGTTAGCTGCCTTCCCTGTTTCCCAGACATGTCCCTAGAGTAAAAGGCTAGAATGCTACACTCTTGGGCCCAGGGGATTTTTTTCTACAGTCTTAAAGGGAAAGTATGCTCCATTTCCAACCTCTTACATTCTTTTCTTCGGGCATCAGAAAGTGGAATTACTTCAGATGAGTCAGTTCTGGGGGTGTTTTAACAGCTTATTCCATCTAATTCACTCTTTGCAGTCTCCTGACCTTCCCTTCCCAGTGTTTTTTCAATGATCTCTATCAAGAGAAAGCGCTAAAGAATGGAATTAACTGCCTCCTCCAAATGTTTGCTATGGAGGAGGTCTTCCAGCCACAAAGGAGAGGGTTTCTGTTCCTGTTATTTTC